TTATTTTATATTGTATTTTTTGTGATTTTTTGGGGGTATTCTTCTTAAAACTGGCTTGTAAGTAAGCATTTCACAGTAAGGTCTACACTTGTTGTATTCGGCGCATGTGACAAACACAATTTGATTTGATTTGATTCACCTGGTCAGTCTATGTCATGAAAAGAGCAGGTGTTCCTAATGTTTTGTACACTCAGTGTATGTTGTGCTAAGAGTTGTGCAAGGTTGATAGAATCTTATTCAAAATGATTCACAGCTGTAATGGCTGCCTGCCAAAGGTGCTTGCACCAAGTATTAACTCTGGGGTGAGAAGACATACGCAATCAATACATGTTCATTTTTTATTAATTTGGAAAATGCTCTATAATTTGTCTTTCACTTTGAACATGTAGAGTAGGTTGTGTAGATCGGTAGAAAAAATATCTAATTTAATCCCTTTTAAGATTAAATTTCAAGGCAGCAAAATGTGAAGACTGTGCAAGGCGTGTGTCCACTTTGGGGGGCCAAGTCGTACCATAACTGAGCGATATGGTGCCATCATGTGCTGTCGGAAATTATCGTAACTACGAGTTTCTGACTTGGAAGTTTAACTTGAACGACATCTCAACTCAGCTTTGACAATAAATCTGTTTTTGACTATTACATATTTATCAATGTGGATAATGTAGCTAGGTTGACCATATTGTCAATGTTAAGCAAGCTAGCTGAATGTATTTATTATTAGCACTGTTAGCTAGCTTATCTAACTACCTAAAAATAGTCTAACTAAAATCGTATATATTTATACTAAACTAAAATATAAACACAACATGTAAAGTGTTGGTCCCATGTTTCATGAGCTGAAATGAAATATCCTAGAAATGTTCCACACGCACAAAACGCTTATTTCTCTCAAATTTGTTTACATCCCTGTTAGTGAGCATTTTTCCTTTGCCAATATATGTCATCCACCTGAAAGGTGTGGCATATCAAGAAGCTGATTAAACAGCATGATCATTACACAGGTGCCCCTTGTGCTGGGGACAATAAAAGGCCACTAAAATAATGCCACAGATGTCTCAAGTTTCGAAGGAGCGTGCAATTGGCATGCTGACTGCAGGAATTTCCACCAGAGCTGTTACTAGAGAATTTAATGTTCATTTCTCTACCATAAGCCACCTCCAACGTTGTTTTAGAGAATTTGGCAGTACGTCCAACCGGCCTCACAACCGCAGACCACGTGTAACCACGCCAGCCCAGGACATCGACATCTGGCTTCTTCACCTGCGATATCGTCTGAGACCAGACCCCCGGACAGCTGATGATACTGTGGGTTTGCACAACCGAAGAACTGTCAGAAACTGTCTTAGGGAAGCTCATCTGCGTGCTCGTCGTCCTCACCAGTGTCTTGACCGACTGCAGTTCGGCGTCGTAACAGACTTCAGTGGGCATACAGTGAGGGAAAAAAGTATTTGATCCCCTGCTGATTTTGTACGTTTGCCCACTGATAAAGACATGATCAGTCTATAATTTTAATGTTAGGTTTATTTGAACAGTGAGAGACAGAATAACAACAAAAAAATCCAGAAAAACGCATGTCAAAAATGTTATGAACTGATTTTCATTTTAATGAGGGAAATAAGTATTTGACCCCTCTGCAAAACATGACTTAATACTTGGTGGCCAAACCCTTGTTGGCAATCACAGAGGTCAGACGTTTCTTGTAGTTGGCCACCACGTTTGCACATATCTCAGGAGGGATTTTGTTCCACTCCTCTTTGCAGATCTTCTCCAAGTCATTAAGGTTTCGAGGCTGACGTTTGGCAACTCGAACCTTCAGCTCCCTCCACAGATTTTCTATGGGATTAAGGTCTGGAGACTGGCTAGGCCACTCAAGGACCTTAATGTGCTTCTTCTTGAGCCACTCCTTTGTTGCCTTGGCCGTGTGTTTTGGGTCATTGTAATGCTGGAATACCCATCCACAACCCATTTTCAATGCCCTGGCTGAGGGAAGGAGGTTCTCATCCAAGATTTGACGGTACATGGCACCATCCATTGTCCCTTTGATGCGGTGAAGTTGTCCTGTCCCCTTAGCAGAAAAACACCCCCAAAGCATAATGTTTCCACCTCCATGTTTGATGGTGGGGATGGTGTTCTTGGGGTCATAGGCAGCATTCCTCCTCCTCCAAACACGGCGAGTTGAGTTGATGCCAAAGAGCTCGATTTGGGTCTCATCTGACCACAACACTTTCACCCAGTTCTCCTCTGAATCATTCAGATGTTTATTGCCAAACTTCAGACGGGCATGTATATGTGCTTTCTTGAGCAGAGGGACCTTGCGGGTGCTGCAGGATTTCAGTCCTTCACGGCGTATTGTGTTACCAATTGTTTTTTTGGTGACTATGGTCCCAGCTGCCTTGAGATCATTGACAAGATCCTCCCGTGTAATTCTGGATTCCTCACCATTCTCATGATCATTGCAACTCCACGAGGTAAGATCTTGCATGGAGCCCCAGGCTGAGGGAGATTGACAGTTATTTTGTGTTTCTTCCATTTGCGAATAATAGCACCAACTGTTGTCACCTTCTCATCAAGCTGCTTGCCGATGGTCTTGTAGCCCATTCCAGCCTTATGTAGGTCTACAATCTTGTCCCTGACATCCTTGGAGCGCTCTTTGGTCTTGGCCATGGTGGAGAGTTTGGTATCTGATTGATTGATTGCTTCTGTGGACAGGTGTCTTTTATACAGGTAACAAGCTGAGATTAGGAGCACTCCCTTTAAGAGTGTGCTACTAATCTCAGCTCGTTACCTGTATAAAAGACACCTGGGAGCCAGAAATCTTTCTTATTGAGAGGGGGTCAAATACTTATTTCCCTCATTAAAATGCAAATCAATTTATAACATTTTTGACATGCGTTTTTCTGGATTTTTTTGTTGTTATTTTGTCTCTCACTGTTCAAATAAACCTACCATTAAAATTATAGACTGATCATTTCTTTGTCAGTGGGCAAATGTACAAAATCAGCAGGGGATCAAATACTTTTTTCCCTCACTGTATGCTCACCTTCGATGGCCACTGGCACGCTCGAGAAGTGTACTCTTCATGGATGAATCCCGGTTTCAACTGTACCGGGCAGATGGCACACAGCGTGTATGGCATTGTGTAGGCGAGTGGTTTGCTGATGTCAACATTGTGAACAGAGTGCCCCATGGCGGCGGTGGGGTTATGGTATGGGCAGGCATAAGCTACGGAAAACGAACACAATTGCATTTTATCTATGGCAATTTTAATGCACAGAGATACCGTGACAAGATCCCGAGGCCCATTGTCGTGGCATTCATCCGCCGCCATCACCTCATGTTTCAGCAGCAAAATGCACGGCCCCATGTTGCAACGATCCGTACACAATTCCCGGTAGCTGAAAATGTCCCAGTTCTTCCATGGCCTACATACTCACCAGACATGTCACCAGTGAGCATGTTTGGGATGCTCTGGATCGACGTGTACGACAGCGTGTTCCAGTTCCCGCCTATATCCAGCAACTTCGCACAGCCATTGAAGAGGAGTGCGATATCATTCCACAGGCCACAATTAACAACCTGATCAACTCTATGCGAAGGTGAAGTGTCGCACTTCATGCGGCAAATGGTGGTCACACCAGATACTGAATGGTTTTCTGATCCATGACCCTACCTTTTTCTGTAAATGTATCTGTGACCACATTCCCATATCTGTATTCCCAGTCATGTGAAACCCATAGATTATGGCCTAATGAATTTATTTCAATTGACTGATTTCCTTTTATGAACTGTAACTCTGTTAAATCTTTGAAATTGTTGCATGTTGCGTTTATATTTTTGTTCAGTGTATATTACCTCCATGGGGTTGACCGTGATCGTAAGGGCCGAGTCGTCCCAGTCCATCTCGTTCTCCTTGCCGCCCTCTGTGTCCCTCATGGTGCGATTGTGGGCCGACTGGATCCGGAACACGCCCAGGACGACCATGAACACCAGGAAGCTGACGCACACCACGATGACGATGGTGGCTGCGCTGGGGACCACTGGGGACAACGCACACAGACAGAATATGTATTAGGACACACACTATATTCACTTCTAGGGCAGGGGAAAGCAAGTTTTCCAAGGGTTACTGCATCAAATATAATTCACCAAAAGTAGATTATATTTCTCCTCTGTACAAAAACAAGAAATCAAGACAGATTCTCTCTCTTCAGACTCATCTTCCACAGCCTATCCCCATTATAACCACAGTCAAGGTTTCTAAATCACGTTTGTAGCCTGTCCTTTAATCAATTATTTTTATTCTTCCTGCTTGTTTTTTTATGTTATTTCCTTCATGTTATTGTTTTATGCACTTTAAATGAAGTTTGATTTGATTAGCTATATGGTGCATGGATGGAAGAGTTGTTGTTTTTGGACTGTCACGTTCTAGGCATGTACTGTATATGCTTTACTCCTGATAATGTTATCGTAATAAAGTCACATTTCTGGAGACCTATAAACAGGGCCTACGATAGAATTCATACACAACCACTCACACTGAGCAGAAGAAACATACGGAAAACTACAGAACAAACTACAAACAACAATGAAGAAACACTGACTGTAACATTAGTTTGTAAAGTAAATATGTTTAGCTTCCTAACAAAGGTTTTGCACTTTGAAGACTAATGCTAGAGTAGTAGTCCATTTAAACGGTTGCAATATTGTCATGAATGTTGTCATGTTATGAAAATAAATAGTAATTGTGATGATCAGTGATGTATGTCTGAAACCCTTATGGCAACTGTATGTGTAATGTCTGAAACTGTGTGTGCCATCCTTATGTGCTACTGGTCCTACTAGTGCTGACAGCCCTGTCCTCCGTGGCAATGGAATCTCTGATGTTCCAGCCTCTAGACTGTGCTGACATCTGCAACGAGCAGTGGTGTCTACAGGATATACCCTGGTGGACCCAACTCTCCTCGCTACGCCTACTGTGATATGGACACACAGGGAGGGAAATGGACGGTGAGTAGCTCATTCTGCCTTGAAACCAATGCAATAACTACACTGCTAAAATTAATGCTTTTTTAAGTAAGGCCAAAAGCCTGACAAAACTATTGAATATTAATTTGTACCACTGCCAATCTTGAATTGCTGAGAGCACAGATGAAAGACCATTGATCCTATGAGTTATTTCCTTCTGAGTGTGACTGGATTTGAACAATGTCAAATCCCCCAACTGAGCTTATCAATACTTTATTTCATATTCAATGTATGAAATTAACATTAAACATACATTTCATACACTTCATAGAAGTTGCAAATTGGTAAAATGTATCATCTTGCTCTTTCAACCTTCTCCTTCTCCCCCTCCCCTCTCTCGCTCGCTTCCCATCTCTCGCTCTCCCCAGGTATTCCAGAGGAGGATGGATGGAACAGTGAACTTCTACAGAGGACGGACGAGTATAAGAATGGCTTAGGACACGTAGGTGGAGAGTACAAACCTTTGTGATGTTCTCAAGATTGCATAGATGACAATAATGATGAATCATTCATCAGTAATGACACAACTTAACAGCAGAGTGTCTTAATTTTGATGAAATATTTTCTCAATAATTATTTTGGATACAGATTTAATTCTCTTAGGGCCTTTCTATGGATTTCATTTGAGGAAGATCCAAAACATCATCATTATCTTTGGGCCAATCTCACGTGGAATCACCCTATGTCTCTGGTCTCAGCCAACCCCTCTCTGTTCTTCCTGCAGGTCTGGGAACAATCCACCTGCCGACTCGGCAGAAGAACTATAAGCTAAAGGTGGACATAAAGGACTTTGACGGGAGGAAGGTCTATGCCAACTACTATACCTTCTCCATCTCTCCCAAGGCCGTTAACGCTGAGGTGGATGGATATAGACTAGTAGTCAGCAGCTTCAGGAACGGAGGGGCAGGTTAGTTGTCACATGACCTTCAGAAACTGTCATTGTGTACATTCAGTGTAACTAACGTACCGTAACAGACCCAGCTAGACTGACTTATTTCAGAACAGATATGTGGTTCTGAAGGCAAATCCATAAGTAGGCTAATTTCACTAAACCAGCCTACATTGTTTCCCTAGGTGATTCCTTAACCTACACCACAGCGGAGCAACTTTTGACTGAGACGTGGGCCCGGTTTCCCAAAAGCATGGGAAGCTAAGTTCATCGTTAGAATCTTTGTAGGAGCATCGATAAATCTCCAAGCGGTTTCACAAAACCATCGTTACTAAAGTTGCAGTTGAAAACGCTTGTTATTTACCGACTGCCTCAGACCACTCATAGAACTGCGGAGTGCGCCGTTAGGTATGTTTTTTCCCCCTACCTCATCGCTTTATACACAGAAGATCTCTGCTAAATATAGAATCAAGATGTTTATCTGTCTCTCAGTGACTGCCGATAACTTCACAACAAAGTTGACTACAAGTACAAAGTTGCCGATGTCTTTGCAATTGTTACAAACAAGTGAAGGATACAAAGATGTTTCAAATGAAAACCGAGATGACTGCATTAAAAGATAAATAGCCTACCTAGAGTACAGGCCACATACTGTAGGCCTATATACATGTAACTGCCAAAATAATGGACACACTTGAGTAAACGAGGGATACATAGTACTGTATATTGAAAGCAGGCGCTTCCACACAGGTGTGGTTCCTGAGTTAATTAAGCAATTAACATCCCATCATGCTTAGGGTCATGCATATAAATGCTGGACAGGCCATTATTTTGGCTACCATGGCTATGTCCCCATAGGATGACAATGCCTCCATCCACAGGGCACGAGTGGCCACTGAATCGTTTGATGAGCATGAAAACGATGTAAACTATAAGCCATGGCCATCTCAGTCACCAGATCTCAACCCAATTGAACACTTATGGGAGATTCTGGAGCGGCGCCTGAGACAGTGTTTTCCACCACCATCAACAAAACACCAAATGATGGAACACCAATAGAGTTCCAGACACTTGTAGAATCTATACCAAGGTGCTTTGAAGCTATTCTGGCTCGTGGTGGTCAAACGTCCTATTAAGACATGTTATGTTGGTGTATTTTAGGGTAAGCATTAGAATAAACCTTCCCTCAATATTTGCAGCCATAGGTGAAAATATAACAATCTAGGAGCTGATCCATTGTCAGTATTGTAGAATAATTGTAATGTTAAAGTGGGTGTAGCACCTATTGCTCAATGCCAGAAACGCATATAATAGTAACTTAGAAAACATTCCCAAATTATTCTCTTATAATATTATAATGATGTTCTAAAAGTTGTGTTTGGGGTTTTCTTCAAATCAGCTCTAACTTCGGAAACAATACCACAACACCCTGCGGTCCACGTCACACGATGAATGAAAGTGGGATAAATTTGTGAGATTGAGGCGGACGAACTGGGCGTCTACTCGTCAATCTGCGGGGAACATTCATCATGTGGATTTTGCTCAATGGGAAAGTTGTTTATTTGTTTTATCTTAGGATCAATGTTGTAACAGTTGCTTCTTGTTGATGAAGCAGCTGCTAACGTTAGCGTGCTATAGCTAGCTATCCTCTTCCTCTGTTTCTGAATTAATTTGTGGCTATTTCTTTCTAATTGGCAAAATAAGTGAGCTAGATTGTTTGTGTACTGCCTTATGTCGATAACATAGCAAGCTAAGTTTGTCACTGGTATGAGCTAGTAAGTATCCTAAACCTAGCCAGATAGACGGTGATAGCTGCAAGCTAAAACCGGGGAAAGGGAGGAGAGAATTCACTTTCTGTTTAATCTGCTGCTGGCTTGCTAATGTTCACTCAAATACGTATTTCCACATGTTATTGATGAAATTATATTTGTATTCAATAAAGATTGTAATTGTGTCAATATGGTTCTCTAGCAGATAAGTAAGAATAGCTCACCCGGTGTTCAAGAATGGCCTTTTTCCCCTTTATTCAGATTACAACCTCTCACTTTCGGTTATTTGAAAATGAAATAATCTCCAAAATATCACTGTTTTTAAAACAAGCCATAGAAAGTTGTTTGCAATTTCAGTTTAATCCACCCGAAAATACCTAACAAATGTTACAACAAATATTGTGGTTAAACTCAAATATACTGTACTAATTGATTTTGATATATATATATTTTTTTTACTGTATAATATTTGTAAATTATATCATGAATAGGACTGGTGGAGTTGTCACAAATGCAGCTAACAAGAATATATGGAAATGTCTGCTCTATCCAAAATGACAACCAACTAATTGCAGCATTTCCGCTAAAATGGAAGAGGCAAGTGGAAGGGAGAGAAAATTGTGATTATAAAATTGTAGAGTTATTTGTATCTTGGAGACTAATTTGATTATTTTAAATATTTTGAATTGAAATTATAAAGAATTTTTCGGTCCATGTACATTTATGAGCCATAACTTTTTATCATTAAGTAGTATATTCAAAGCAATCCATCTTCCTTGAGGATCTATTTTAATGTATGGCAACTCAAAATCAAGATTGTTTTTGAATAGGATCATAACCTTTTGAATTCCTTAGGTCATGACAGAAATAGATTTTACCATCCCACTCTTTTTCCCCAAGCCAGAATATAGTGAATGAGTTACCTGTAAACAATAAGTATGCTAATCCTTTTCCTTTAACCATGTAAAAGCTGCTTTTCTTTTCCTATTATTTGCCAAACCAATAGCAATGGCTGTGGGATGCATACACGAACACGCCCCACCCCGACTTACACATCTACACCTCTTCCCTTCCACCCATACACACACCTACACATCAAACCTAAGAGAGGAGACCAAGCCCACCCATGTCTGAGCTTCGTTCATGATATCTGGAAAAAGATATACCAGTATTCCAAAGAAAATGTTTAAGGATCCCCCTTGGATGCCTCTATGGGATAAACATCGATAACAAATCATTGATAGCAAATCATAATACCATCAATAATAAATCATTTAGATAGGCTGAGCTGCAAGAAAGGGTAGTCATGAAAATCTGTGATCTATTTACACAGGAAAGCTTTATCTCTCATGCGGGAATCAACACCAATAAATCCCGTAGACAGCTACCATGATGGAAATACACTGCTCAAAGAAATTAAGGGAACACTAAAATAAAAACCACACTACAGGCTGATCCAACTTTGATGTAATGTCCTTAAAACAAGTCAAAATTAGGCTCAGTAGTGTGTGTGGCCTCCACGTGCCTGGATGACCTCCCTACAACGCCTGGGCATGCTCCTGATGAGGTGGCGGATGGTCTCCTGAGGGATCTCCTCCCAGACCTGGACTAAAGCATTCGCCAACTCCTGGACAGTCTGTGGTGCAACGTGGTGTTGGTGGATGGAGCGAGACATGATGTCCCAGATGTGCTCAATTGGATTCAGGTCTGGGGAACGGGCGGGCCAGTCCATAGCATCAATGCCTTCCTCTTGCAGGAACTGCTGACACACTCCAGTCACATGAGGTCTAGCATTGTCTTGCATTAGGAGGAACCCAGGGCCAACCGCACCAATATATGGTCTCACAAGGGGTTTGAGGATCTCATCTCGGTACCTAATGGCAGTCAGGCTACCTCTGGCGAGCACATGGAGGGCTGTGCGGCCCCCCAAAGAAATGCCACCCCACACCATGACTGACCCACCGCCAAACCGGTCATGCTGGAGGATGTTGCAGGCAGCAGAACGTTCTCCACGGCGTCTCCAGACTCTGTCACATCTGTCACATGTGCTCAGTGTGAACCTGCTTTCATCTGTGAAGAGCACAGGGCGCCAGTGGCGAATTTGCCAATCTTGGTGTTCTCTGGCAAATGCCAAACGTCCTGCACGGTGTTGGGCTGTAAGCACAACCCCCACCTGTGGATGTCGGCCCCTCATACCACCCTCATGGAGTCTGTTTCTGACCGTTTGAGCAGACACATGCACATTTGTGGCCTGCTGGAGGTCATTTTGCAGGGCTCTGGCAGTGCTCCTCCTGCTCCTCCTTGCACAAAGGCGGAGGTAGCGGTCCTGTTGCTGGGTTGTTGCCCTCCTACGGCCTCCTCCACGTCTCCTGATGTACTGGCCTGTCTCCTGGTAGTGCCTCCATGCTCTGGACACTACGCTGACAGACACAGCAAACCTTCTTGCCACAGCTCGCATTGATGTGCCATCCTGGATGAGCTGCACTACCTGAGCCACTTGTGTGGGTTGTAGACTCCGTCTCATGCTACCACTAGAGTGAAAGCACCGCCAGCATTCAAAAGTGACCAAAACATCAGCCAGGAAGCATAGGAACTGAGAAGTGGTCTGTGGTCACCACCTGCAGAACCACTCCTTTATTGGGGGTGTCTTGCTAATTGCCTATAATTTCCACCTGTTGTCTATTCCATTTGCACAACAGCATGTGAAATGTATTGTCAATCAGTGTTGCTTCCTAAGTGGACAGTTTGATTTCACAGAAGTGTGATTGACTTGGAGTTACATTGTGTTGTTTAAGTGTTCCCTTAATTTTTTTGAGCAGTGTACTTTAAACTACGGACCTCAGTCAACACTTTCAGAGGTAATTCTATGCAACTGCCAAAAGCGTCGTACTGGGACTCACACTTTCTAGAGAGTAGCACACCCACAATAAAAACTCCTGGAGTCTATAGAGAGGTCCTTGGAGTAATATCATCTGATTTCCAGGCCCTGAAGAGAATATGGGCAAAAGACTTGGACTGAGATATCACCAAGACCGAATGGGATGAGGTTTGGCAGATCTCAAAAGATGGGTCTCTAAAGCTAATGCAAATGAAACTATACATTGTTTCCATTTGGACACCCAGTAAGCTTCAAAGGGTCGGTCTGAGGCCCACAGGCGCCTGCTGGAGATGTTGATCTGAGGAGGGGACTTATCTACATATGGTAAGGAGCTGTGAAAATCTGGATGTTCTGGACTAATGTACTGAATAGTATA